CTTATAGGAATACTGATCGAACATTCTGCAGACGTCGTCGTTTGATAGAACCGAGTAACCCGCTGTGTCCATGCTGTCCCTCCTCTTCTTCTCTTCGTCTCCTGGAATACGAGTCCTTGGTGAGTGAAAAACAAAAGGGGGACAAAAAAAAAGGAAAAATAAAATAGAAGAATCGTCAAGTGGCACCAAATCGTAGACACAAGATCGAGTGATCGCTACCGAATAAACTGATCGCGATCGCACCGGCAATACCGTCGCTCATCGTACGATCCTCGTTGTTTCTTCAACACGTATGTTCGCCATCCACGATTAAACAACAACACTAATTTTCTCGAGGGTTCGAACGAGGATCGAGCCTCTTTTTGTTTCCTTTTTCTTTCTCTCCCTCTCTCTCTCTCTCTCTCTTTCCTTTTCTCCCTTTCCTTTTTTTCGTCTCTACCAAGATGAGTGCTAGTTAAGTTTTTGGATTTTTTGTTATCACGTTTGCACTATCTTTCGAATCGTCGCGACACGAGATCGAAAGCGTACGAACGGCCGAACGAACGAACGTACGAATGAACGAACGAACGAATGAATGTATCGCGAACACTCGGCTTTTCCTTCGGCACGAACGAACGAACGAACGAACGAACGAACGAACAAACGAACGAACGAGCGAGCGAACGAGCGAACGAGTGAACGGACGAAAGAACGAACGAGTTTACCGGTGTCTACTTTTCTTCCGAACGAACGAACGAACGAACCAACAAACGTAACGCAATACGATCCTATCGATCGATTATCGAAAGATCATCGAACGCCTCCAGCGATTATCGCACGCTTCTCGTCAACGATATTATGGCGTCCCCCTGACATGGCGGATTACTTTCGATCGTCTCGACTGTCTCGCGAGATCGCCTCCCCTCCCCATCGCCCGACGATCCACCACCTTCCGCTCTCTCTTTCTCTTTTTCTTTCTTTCAATCTCTCTCTTTCTTTCTCCCTCTCTCTCTTTCTCTCTCTCTCTCTCTCTCTTTTCCGCGACCGTTCTTCTTTCCTTCCTTTTTAATGACAATGTCGTAGGAGGATGAAAAAAGCCGAAGAGGATAAAAGAAGATAAGGAAAAGTTCGACGACACGTGGCGACGATTAAGTTATTGGTCCTCCGTATAGCCAAGAGGGCTCAACTCGTTCGTCCTCTTTCTTTTTCTTTTTCTCTTTCTCCCTCTTTCTTTCTCTTCCTCCCCCTCTCTCTCTCTCTCTCTCTCTCTCTTTCTCTCTCTCTCTCACGTGATCGAGAGAGGATTCTCGGGCGTATTCGACGCGACGACAGGCCAACGAATCCTCTGGGTAGTCCTCCTCCTCCTCCTCCTCCTCCTCCTCCTACTATTACTACTCCTTCTCTTTCTCCTTTACCCCCTCGCGGCTTTGAGGTTAGTACGCTCGGGATAAGCGCCGCACGCGGATTAGGCTAGGTCGCGCGCGACTCGCGTCGTGCGCGCAACGCGTGCTGCTTCGCGATAGTAAGCGCGTCGAGCGTCGGCCACCGTCGACGCAGTGCGCGACTGAGTCGCGTGCTGAGAAGGGTGGGGGGCGGAGGGGTAAGGGGTATGCCAAGGGAGGGGGTGAACCACCCCACGCGGCACAATCGGCACTACCCACCTCCTATCGCTCTCTCTCGCCCTCACTCTCTCTCTCTCTCTCTCTTTCTCTCGCTCTCATTCTCTCTCTCTCTCTCTCTTTTTCTCTTTCTTCATCTCTATCTTTTTCTCTGTTTATCTACTGTCATTCGTTTCTCCTTCTCTTTTACTGTTTGACTGCATATGTCTCTCTCTCTCTCTTTCCTTTTTCTCTCTTTCTTTCCTTCTTTCGTTTTTTCTTTTTCTTTCTCTTTCTTTCTTTTGACTGTCTACTTTTCTTTCTCTCTTCGTCTATTTATATATCTCCATCTTTTTCTCTTCTCTCTTCATTTCAGGCATCTTTCGTTTCACTCACTCGCAATTTCCCTTTCTCTTTCTCCCTTTTCTTTCTCCCCACTCTATTCGCTCTACTCCAGACTACACTATTACACTACTATTACTATTATTATTACTTCGCTACCGTTGCCAACATATATACATATGTACATATATAGTATATAGAGTATGTAGGTGCGCAGGTCAGGACGGATTCGCGAGCGTCCCGCGCCACTATATCGCCGAAACTACTCTCAAAATCATATATATATATATATATATATATATATATATATATATATACAGATGTATGTATAATGCTTGTATGGATGGATAGATAGATAGATGGATGGATATATATGTATATATATATATATATATATATATGTATGTATGTTCGTATATGTATGTTCGTATATATATACTCCTCGTCCGCTACTTTCCGTTCGTAATAATAACACGGAAATTGGGATCGATCTCTTAAAGGAGTTAGAGTGTTAAAATTAACCCTTAATCTAACTTACATATTACATCTATATATATGAAGGAAAAGAAGATTTCTTTTTTATTTCTTTTTCTTTCGATGATACAGAGATGATCGAATATTATATTTTCCATGATTCGTTAAAAGAACATTCTCTTGCGAGTAAAGCGCAACAAACGGAACAATACTTTTGTATAACTTTTTTAATATATACACTATAGTCATTCCTTCTTAATTTCTATACGACCGGTGTGCTTACATACATTCGTATAGATATATAGTATATACATACACATACATCATACATAAATACATATATCTCTATCTTGCTCGTAAGTCAATGACAAGCACACCGGCGTTACTGCGAGCACCGAAACGAAGTGCTTTTAGTCGGAGAGTCGTTTATTTACCATATCCCTCCGGTTCATATGTTCTGACAAAAAAAAAAAAAAAAAAAAAAAAGAAAAAACAGAAAAAAGAAAAAAATATATATATCTTCCTAAGAGTCTTCCTTTTCATTTTTGTTTATTCTTGACTAAGTTCTTATTTCATTTTTCCTTATATATCCCTATGAAAAAATTATCGTTCATCTTATGAAATAAGAATTTCATATATATTATAAAAAAAAGGATATATATATATATATATACATATATATATATATTTCGACTAACTTGGTCACAAAGGAATTAACGAGCGTGATCCCTGTACCATCGTCACTTTGAAAGGATCCAGGATTAGGATCTGGGAATATGGGAAGAATCTCCGTAGGCGGACACGTGGTTCGCACGTGGGTTTCATTCATGAACAGCGATCGTAGGTCGTAACGGGCGCAACGGCAGCAGCAGTAGCAGCAAGAGAGCGTGTCGGTGATAGTACCGGCGGTAGTGATCGTAGAGGAGGAGGAAGAGGAGGAGGAGGAGGAGAAGGAGAAAGAGGACGAGGACGAGGAGGTAGAGAAGTAGTAGTAACAGCAGTAGTAATAGCAGTAGTAGTAGTAGTAGTAATACTAATAGTAGTAGTAGTAGTAGCAGTAATAGTAGTAATATTAGTAGTAGAGCAATGTGGTAGTTGTAGGAAGCAAGCAAGCATCAGTAACACTAGTAGAGGTAGCAGAGGTAGACAGGCAGGCAGGAAGGTCGGGTTTGTTGGCTGGTAAAAGTAGAGACAGTACAGAGGTAGAAGCCCGTAGAGTGGAGTTTGTAGTGGCATGGTGCGCGAGTTTACGCGCTGGATTTTCGCCCCGAGCCAGCCAGCCAGCCAGCCACGCCAACCAGCCAGCCAACCAAGTCAGCCAAGCCAGCCAGCCATCCAGCCATCCACCCAACCATCCAGTCAACCAGCCACCCGGAGGAAGCGAGCGAGCAAGAGAGGACCGTGGGGTCAGGCGTGATATCTGAATCCTCCCCGCTTCCTACTACCTCTTTCACTCTCTCTTTCTCTCTCTCTCTCTCTCTCTCCCTCTCTCTCTTTTTCGCTTTCAACTCGTTGCTTCTCTCTTTCTCTTTCTCCTCTCTCCTTTCAACGCCTTGCGATCTCCTCTGCGTGTCTCGTGCGTCCCTCTCTCTTTCTCTCTCTCTCTCTCTCTCTCTCTCTCTCTCTCTCTCTATCGTTCGCGCTCTCGCTCTCGCTCTTCGTCTACCGTTTTCACCCTTATTACCATCCTTATCCCTCCTTCTTTACCTACCTTCTCGTTCTCTCTCTTTCTCTCTCTCTCTCTCTCTCTCTCTCTCAAAAGCAAACGTTTCCCGCTATCTCTCTTACTCTCTCGACACGAGCTTCGTGCCACGAGTACTCGCCAGACGACCTTAGGATTGTGCTCCAGTGCCCCATTCAATCTCTCCACCGAAGTTCACGACCTGCTTTGCTAAATGCCGTCGTGTCGAGGACGTCGAAAGAGAGTGAGAGAGGGAGAGGGCGAGAGAAAGAGAGAGAGAAGGTTGCTTGGATAGGAAGGCGACCTTCGGCCTTCCCAATATCCTTTGAACTCGATATTCCCTGTTCTCTAAGTGCCCTACGGCCAGCCGAGATTTTAGTTGCTCTTTGCACGTGGGTGGTGTATTATCATTACCCCTTTAAATAACAACGCGAAAAATCGTCGTACACGCGATAGCCATTAAGATCACTAGCTATAAATCTTTTACATCGTCACAAGATAAAGTTTTCATTCTATTGTATTTCAATAATATTAATTATAAAAGCGCACTTTTTATTTAATTTTATAAAGTGCTTGTGTAATTAATATATCGTTAATAAAAATAGAACTTACAGAAACTTATTGAACTTGAGTTAAATACAAGTTAAAAATACAAATGTACAAGCAATAAAACTTAGTGAACAAAATGAATGAATTAAAAGGTCTATCGAAAAAGATCGATTGATTTGCGAAATCACTTACAAGAAATCGATTTGGCCCATCCAGGAATTATTGACCAACCCTTACCCCATTATTATATTATGAAAATATATACTTTCTTTTTACGTATTCGATTAAAGCCAACGCATAAATGTGCATTCCATTATCGTTACTATCCTATATAAGAATAATATAATAAAATGTATAAGAGATTCAGGATTTAAAGAAGATGAGCCCAATTCAAGTCACAGGAAAAATCTTAGAGTAAGGGGGGCAATGACATGTAGTAGAACGCAACGATAAAAATAACTCGTCCCAAACGCGTCGGAGTTCCAAGAGAAAATCATTAGTGCCCAAAAGAGGAAGCGTTACACCGAAACAAGACGTTCTTTTCCCTCCCTTTCGCGTGCCTTACGTAGGGTGGTAGTCGAGGCGGCAGGTTCAACGTCCTTCGTGAAACGATGGAAGGGGTGAGAACGAGAGAAATATGTGTATATATGTATACATCTATGTATATACTTATATATATACATAGTATATATGTACATATATATAGTAGAGACATGTAGTAGACAAAACGTTAAACAAAATATATATGTATGCACGATATCAATCATCAAGTTTTTCTCTTATAACCTAATACTCGTTTAAATTAACTCGTGACGATAAAAACAGCGATCGCATCGATCGATAATGTTATTAAAAGGAACACGGAAAAATTATTTTACCTTCTTATGAGCTTCCTTATCGTTTCTCGTTTATGTACTTGTATTATACGTCCGTCTATATATATATATATATATATATATATATATATATATATATATTATATATAGATTTATCACGCGATTCAATTTCTTAGACATCCACACATGCAACCATCATCCTATAGAAATTTTCAAAGGTGAGCAGTCGAATGAATATATATATATATATATATATATATATATATATATATATATATATATATATACGTACATACACATAGACCTATATATGTAGTATACTGTAGCAAAAGCAGTGCACATACGTCGAGACTTCCGAGTCTCGTTGAGCGCGCGCA